TCGAACAAAGATTTCTTAAAACGGACAATTTCATCTGATCCGATACGAAATTCTTAAATATCAAAAAAAAAAAAAAATAAAGAAATCCTTCATCATCATCGATCGAAAGGATGGTTTGGAGGAAGAGGTTAGGAAAGTAGGCGGGGGCGGTGGATCCTAGCCGGTGGGAAGACACGTTTAAAGAATTAAAGTATCTAATGCGAAAGAAAGGTCTTGGAAGCCGGCGTTTGAAAGCGAAGCATTGTCTGCTTAAGCCTGGCATTCAGTGGCCTCTCTCTCTCTCTCTCTCTCTTCTCCTGCCACTCGTGGGGGGTATAATTGCGAAAAGGTAAGATAGTACTCGGTGGAGGGAGAAAATAAGAAATTAAGAGAGAGTCTTAGAAGAGAATAAAGCTAAGAATTAAAGGCGGCAGAGAGGAGAAGAGAGGAGGAGGAGGAAGGAGAAGGAGGAGGAGGAGGAGGAGAAAGAAGCAGGAAGAGGGGGAGTGGAAGGAAGCCGGGTGGCGCTCGCTTTCGGGCTTAAGCCCTCCCCGGGATTCTTACTCGCGCGTCATTTAACAAAACAATTAGAAGTTAACCCCTTCCTTCCTCGTCCGTCCTCCTTCGTTTTCTTTTCTCTCGTGGCTCGACCGTCCCCAAAATTGAGGAGGATTCAAACCCTTTCCCAACGAGGGAAGGAAGGGCAACGGCGGTAGCGGCCGACTCACTGGCCAGATTCACCACGGTCCGGTTTAATCGTCTGTGGCGCCACTGTGCGATCGCTACAGAGAATCATTATCGATTCATTCGATTCGATACGCGTGCGAATCGAGATGATACCACGCTGCAATCTACCGGTCAATTCTTTAACTGCCGGTATAGTTTCTATAAATACAATTATATAAATTATATAAACCATGTATAAAATAAAATAAAATAAACACAACGAAGAAAATGTTTTAATAGTAAATTGTTAAAATAGAATATCAATTCGTTGATATAATCGCCACCTTCTATCGGATCAAAAAATGAAGTATTAAAATTTCTTCTTTCAAACAATAATACAGTGATTAGCCTCAAACGATGCAATAAACATGAATGCCTCTAATAAAAACTCGATCGTGCAAGCAAATGAAGATTTGATCATTTGACTTAATGCAAACTTTTTTATCGTTATAACAACAACAACAACTATTAAATTCCTAAATAAAGAACCTATTCAATCGATGAAATTCCCGAATATAGGGAAGTGAAAAAATAATTTAATAACGCACAACGGTAAGTGAAATTTACAAAAATTTCAAAAATTGTGGCACACAAGTGAAAAAAAGCTTGTGGAAAATTGTTCGAAAATTGTCGTGTAACTTTTTTTTTTTAAAATACAAGCCGCTTCGATTCGAACGAACGACGGTAAGGGGGTGGCGGGGATGAGAATCTTGTCCTTTTTATAACGACTCCCCGTCCTCTCCCTTTCGCGAAAAGTCTGCGGAAGCGGCGAGCCGCCGCCGTCGTGAATTCCTTCTTTCACGGCGATAAATAAAAGTGAAGCGTAAAGCAAAGACATCCGGCGGCGGAGTCGAGCCCCCCTCCCCCCCCCATCCTCTCCTCTCCTCTCCTCTCCTCCCCCTCGTCGTCGATCTCGTCGATAGCAGAGACTGCACCAAGAGTTCCTCTTCTCTCGTACCTTCCCCCCCCCAGCCCCCTCCGCCTCCGCCCATTCAAATACCGCAGGGACAGTATTTCCCAACCGATCTTTCCCCCTCCCCCTCTCCCCTCCCCACCGCCGATTATTTAAGAAACGGTACATTTGGAAAAATTGTCCGCGTCGAATCCGAAAATGGCGGATGGAATAAGTTTCTCTCTAATGGATGTTACTGTTTCGTTTCGTTTACGATTTGTTTGTGATAATAATATTCAATTGTCTTGAAGAATTTGCTGAAAACGGGAACGACTCACGAGAGGGGTCTATATAGTTCCATTTGATTTGATCTATTTTTACAAAATTGTGAGAAATATAAAATGAAATTTTCAATTTTCTTTTTCTCTCTCCTCTCCTCCTAGAGAAATTATTTAATTATTTACTTTTTTTGCTCTAAAAGAAAAAAAAAAAAAATATTTTACTCAAAATCGAATTCCAAAGGGTGCAATTAATTAATCATTTTAATTAAATTACAAAGAGGGTAAAAAGGGTAAGAAAGTGTCGTGTAATAAAGCGTGAACATACGAGTTATGAATTATGAACGAAACTTATATATATATATATAT